GGTGCCAAAGAAGAATGAAAAGAAGCCTAAAAAGCAAAAAAGAATATAACCTCCGATACGATGAACATAATAAAACCATATCGAGCTATGATCCTGTCATCCCTACCCTTTTATTCTCCATAAAGGGGGTGGCGGGAGAGGATATGAAATAAATAGTAGGATCTTAGGATTTGCCTCTTTTTATATTACATATGGAACGATAGACAACCCCAATGGGTGTCTAACGTTATGGGGGTAAAAGCGAGATCTCTATTTAGAGGGTAGGGGATAGGCAAGTAGCTCTTTTAATATGAATATTAGGCGAGATAAGATAGGTCTGACAAAGTATCTGGATAATTTTGAGTCTACTATATATATACACGCAAACACATATATATACATACATATATAATATCAAGGTATATTATACTTTTGATTTTACTCAAAATACGATAGTAGATAGGTATGACGAAGTATGTGCATAAATTAGATGTTAGAGAATTAGGGACTGGAGTTCACCCATTAGATTTAGAGGTTAGGGTATAGTATCATGCCCCAAAAAACTCCGGTTAATTTGGGGTCTAAATAGTAAAACTCAATGGTCGTATGGTAGTGTGAATACAAGAGTATAGTGCACACTAGCTTGAACTATATATATGGGGGGGGGGGGGGTTCGGGTTGACGCTACACTAAATATTAGTGTTTTGATTGACAAATTTTGATATAAGTTCTAAATGGGACGTGACAACGACATAATTTATGATTAGAAAACCGAAGCATCAGAAATTAGTGTGCTAAATTATGAATCAATAACACAAAAGAAGATCTTTTTTTTTTAGCAATAGATAACTGGTATTACCAAATCAAAGATATCAATGTTTACAATCCAAAAAGAAACCACTGATCAAAATCAAAACTCGCAACAACAGCAGATAACAAAGAGAGGGTCTTCCTGGCTACATCATGAGCCACCCGATTGTCATTCCTGCCAACAAAAGAAACACCAAAAGTCCGATATTGCCTCCGCAACTCCTCAATTTCCACAAGTATGCGCCCTCCCTTCACATCCCTAGCATCCCGACGCTGAATCTTCTCAATCACACCCTTGGCATCTCCATAAAACCAAACTGAATCCATCCCCTTCGCTAAGCACCACTGGATAGCGTCCCGAAATGCCACTAACTCCACTAGAAAAGGATCAACAATACCTGCATAATAAAATCCCTTGACCATACACACCCGCCCCATGCCATCTCGGACAACCAAGACCCACGCCCCATGCGATCCCGGCGCCACTGCCCCATCCACATAATAGGAAAACGGTAACGCCAGAGGCGACTGGGCCGGACCCCGATCTCCAGACGCAATTTGCCGCTGAAGCACCGGTACTGGCTCTGGCTGAACAAACGCCAACCATTCATGCACCTGCATCTCAAACTGACGAGCTAAGCATGGTATATCGTACTGTATATGCTCAAAGACTACCCAATTCCGGCTCTTCCAAATCCTCCAAAGCAAAGCCACCATACGCACAATCCGCTCTGTCCCATCATCCTGTTCAACCAGCCTACGGAAGAACAAAGCAAAGTTAGACACCCCCGCCATCCCATCCACACCTGTTACACCCGAGCGATTCCATAGGGCCACTGCAACTCTACAAGACAGAAACAAATGCTCCAGGGTCTCCACCGGTTCCTAGTAGACCGGGCATCTGGGAGATAGCGTCTCACCATCCTCAGAAGGGTCAAGGACCTCAGCCGGATTTTGTCCCCTCTTTTCAAAGATAGCCTCCGCCGTGGGTAGAACCCGCCTAAGAAGTTGCCAAACAAAGAATTTCAACTTAGGAGGCAGCGGAAAACCCCACACTTTCTTCCAAAAGCCCATATCAAAGAAAGAAACCTCCTCCTTCCATCCCGGAGCTGCACGGCTGAGCTGAAGAGCCAGATGGTACCCCGACTTCACTGTATACTCCCCATCTGCCTCCCAAGCCCAAACACAGCGATCAGGAATCTGTCGAACTGGCAATGGAATAGAGCAAATCCTCTGCATCACGGACTCAGGGAAACAATGTTGGAGACACTCAACACACCATTTCCCCGTACCAGGGACCAAGAACGACTCTACCCTGGCCTCGGCCAACCCCGGGACTGAGGAGAGTACAGAAACCTCCTCACGCCTCACCCCAGGAATCCAACTATCTTCCAGCACCCTCACGCCTTTCCCATCACCAATCTGCCAAACCAACCCCTGCTGCAATAAATCTCTGCCATGGAGCACACTAGTCCACCCCCAGGACGGTCGAGACCCACACTTAGCTTGCAGTATCGAAGTTTGCGCAAAATACTTCCCCCTCAAAACCTGTGCCAGTAAAGTATGTGGTTCCTGCCAAACCCGCCAAGCCACTTTTGCCAACAACGCTTGATTGAAGTCCTCAAAACGTCTAAACCCAAGGCCACCATCGAATTTGCTACGACATAGGTTCCGCCAGGAAACCCAATGCGCCTTTTCCTTATTCACCGAGTACCCCCACCAAAAGCGAGCCATATGCTTGTCCAGTTTTCGACATAATGTTATTGGCAAGAGAAAACAAGACATAACATAAATTGGGAGCGCAGCCGCTACTGCTTTAAGCAGAACCTCCTTTGCAGCCCACGACAAATGTCTCTGCTTCCATCCCTGAAGTTTTGTCAATAATCTTTCCTCCAGATACCGGAATGTCTCCACCTTAGATCGCTGCACTAGGGTGGGAAGGCCCAGGTACTTGTCCTGAACTCCCACAGCCCCAACACCCAGCACTCCCGCCATCTCCTCTGCCTCTACCGGGTCTACATTCCACTAAAACATATTGCCGACTTATTCAAATTAACCTTCTGACCACTCATCTCCTGATACCTTTGCAGCAACTGCACCAAAGCTTCACACTCCTGTCTAGACGCTCTCAAGAACAGATAAGAATCATCTGCAAAAAATAAATGGGAAATGCTAGGACATCTTGGGTTCACCTTAACCCCCACTAGCCTTTTCTCCGAGATAGCCTGTCTCAACAAAGCCGCAAATCCTTCAGAACAAATCGCAAATAATAGCGGAGATAACGGATCCCCCTGCCGTAGCCCTCTCGTCGAGCGGAAGTACCCTGCAGGCGCTCCATTCATCATAACAGAGAAAGACGCCGTCGAGACGCATTCCTGTACCCAATCTATCCATCGCCGATTAAAACCCATCTTAGTCATGATTGCAAACAAGAAATCCCACTCTACTCTATCATAGGCCTTTTCCATGTCAACCTTTAGAGCTAGGTAAGACTTCTTCCCGTGCTTCTTGATCTTAAGATAGTGCATCACTTCATGCCCAATCAGAACATTGTCAACAATCTGGCGACCACGAATAAATCCATTTTGATCCGGTGAGATAATGGAAGGCAAGACAACAGCCATCCGCTCTCCATGATTTTAGAAATAATCTTGTAAAAAAGTTGACATAGACTAATCAGTCTAATCTGCTTCATAGACTCCACCGAGTCCACCTTAGGCACCAAAGTCAGCCAGGTGTGGTTGAAGCTTTTCAAGAGCCGCCCGATTGAAAAAATGACTGAACAGCTTCCACCACCTCCATCCCAACGATATCCCAGTATGCCCTATAAAACTTACCAGTAAATCCATCAGAGCCTGGGGCTTGGGTAGCCCCAATAGAGAACACTGCTCGGCGGATCTCGTCCGCAGAGACATCAGCTGTCAGGTCCCTGTTCATTTGATCCGTCACAACCTCCGGCACAGGGAGCCTTGCCATCCTTGCCTCTAAATCCGGCGATTGGCTCTCCGAAGTGAAGAGCTCCTCATAAAACTCCCCAGCCACGGCACCGTTCTGTGCCTCCTCCGTGACCCATGTCCCATTTTTATCGAGCAATCCTTCAATGAAGTTGTGCCTACGCCGCGTCCGCGTAACCGTATGAAAATAAGAGGAATTCTTATCTCCCTTATCCAACCACCTAACCCTCGATTTCTGCCTCCAGTATTCCTCTTCCGCCGCCCATTGCACCGATAACTCTTTCTCCAGCCTGGCAACACTATCCCAATCCACACTCGTCCCCTCCTTCAAAGCCCCAATTTCCGTCTGCAGAATACGTATATTCCGGGCCGAGTTATTCGTCCCCGCTCGGCTCCAATCAAAAAGTAAGTGCCGCAGAGCTTTTAATCGCTGCCATAACCGGAACATCGGCGACCCAGTATACGTTTGTTTCCAAACATAACTGACCAGTAGTCTCGCCTCCTGGTTCTCTACCCATCGCGAGTCAAATCTAAATAAGGGTTTTACCATCCTGCTGAACGGCTTATCAGCTACAAGTAAAGCCCTGTGATACGACCCCAAGTCAGTACAGTGCTTCACCAAGGTTTGCGGGAACTTTTCCGCCCAAAGCGGTGAAACCAAAGCCCGATCCAACCGCTCCATAATACAAGCCACCCCCATACGACGATTAGACCAAGTGTATTGCGGACCCATGAACCCAATATCCTGTAATGCAAAATTGTTCATAAAATCCCTAACACTTGTAGAGCCAATAGGGTCCCATGGAAGGCCACCTGCTTTTTCACTGGGTTCCAGCACATAATTCATGTCCCCAATTACTAAGAAAGGGACATTCAAATTCAAATAATACAAATTGAGCACAGTGACCTGTTGAGCACGCACAATTCGAGCTGGAGACAAATAAACACAAACACACACATAATCCAAATTCTCAATGTCATTCCCAACACCAAAAGCAATAAAAAAGGACTCATGCGCCAGTACATGGAGGGCAAAATCCCACTCCCAACCAATAGCAAGCCCACCGGCAGCATTAACAGCATCAACAATAAAAAAATTTTGAAATCCTAACCCGCGCAATCGCCGGGTAACTACGCGCCTATAAGATTTAGTTTCCGAAAAAAAAATAATCTCTGGCTTATTCGACCGGCACAGGCCAAGCAAGGATTGGAACGTAAGAGATGGCCCGATGCCTCTTACGTTCCAGGAAATCATCTTCATTTGGCGGGCTGGGACCATTCATGGCTGGTTTCCTCCACCGCAGCTTGCACACACACTTTCTTCACCGGAGTAGGATCAAATTGCAACCCTGCAACTTCACCTGCTGCCCGTTTCCTTTCATCAATCTCCGCCGGATCCGGCGCCACCATACGGAAGGCCTCCTTCCCCTTGCTTTTCAGCCCTCCCCCTGCTGCCCTCGGCCCAGCCTCATTTGTCTGCCTCCCATGAGGACGGCGTGCATCATACCTATGCTGCTGCTGCCTGGGTACACTCTCCCTGCTCCTCTCCATCCCTCTAGTAGCCTGCTGGTAAGTACCCTGACCCCCCTTGCCTTTCCCCTTCACAAATTGCCCCCGATACCCACCGCTACCACCATCCACAGTCCCCCTGTTCACCTGCCCCTGGCCCGACTTCCCTTGCACATCACCACTCCCTCGCTCCATACTTCCTTGAGCAGGCAGCCCCAACACCACAGATTTGCCGCGCCCACCTGACGGATCCTCCTCTGTTTCCCTGTCCCGTTTCTGCTTCCCACCTCCTGCTGCATTAACGCCAGCCTTGGGGTTAACCCACACCGACGACTGCGCAGGTTGACGCAATGGGAAAGGCACAACAGCTGCCTCCTCCACTTGATAGCCGATGATGTCCGTACTAAGTTCAGGGCCGTAGTGCTCAATTCCCACCGGGTCTGGATACACACAGTTTGGGGCCAATTGCGCCAACCTCCCACAATGGTAACACAAGAGTGGTAGGAACTCATAAACCAGTGTGACCCAGAACTCACCGACCACCGGGTTGCTTGCATAAAGTTGAGAGCGAAGAGGTTGAGTGATGTCCAGCAGTACCTTCGTCTTTATAAAGTGCCCCGAGATCCCCTGAATGGCAAAAGCACCGGCATCTAAGACCTTCCCAATCTTCGATCCAGCCACCCTCTTCCCGAAGGCCACAGTACGACAGTGATTCGGAATCCCCCACATCTGGACCCAAAACGGAACCATGATAAAGGAATCGACCACCTCCTTGGTTATTTGACACCAAGGCTTCAATTGCAGCACCCTCTCCTTCACTGTCCATGGCGATCTCTTAAGGACCCAATCCCGATCAGCTTCATCCGCAAAGAAGAATTGCAGAAGCCCTCTTTCAGCCGCAAGAACCCTGACCTCCACCGCACAATTCCATTCGCCATTCACAATCTTACTGATAACAGCCAGACTCAGCGGGTTATCCATAAACAACCTTCCCAGCAAACTCATCTTCGCCCACTGCACACCTGCCGCCACGTCTTCCATGGTGAACTCCACAATTTGATCCATAGCCAAAGCCTGGATCCCAGCAGCCACTTCATCAACCTGCGGCGCCTCCTCTGGCTTCTCCTCCCTATCAGCAATCTTCTGCACCCCATCTTCCTGCGTCTGTGGCGAAGCCACCGTCATCACCTCATCCGCTTTGGCATCCACCACAGGAGCAGCCACCTCCATAGCTTCGCTACTGGTCACCATGTTTCTTTTCCTTCGTAATCTCTGGACACACCAGTACAAACCCCCCAACAGTCCCATTAAGACTACAACTGGGGTACCCATAACACAAATAAGACCCACCCAACTAAAATGAAGAGCGGTATGCATACCTTTCTTGAATCGACGCCAACGAGAAGGGTACTCCTGCCGCCGATACAGTTTCCACCACTGGCTACACTGGTTTCTGTTTGGTGGACTGGCGAATCGCACCTGGGACACTAAATAGGTCCACTTCGGAGCTAAGCGGAGAACCGTGCTCTAGACGGTCTCCTGGTTTGGATTTATCCCTTCTGATCTGCGAATCTGGGCGTATCGGGCGAAAAAATCGACCTCCATTCTCCGCCGATTAAATCTCGCCGCTCCGCCAATTTCTTCTCCTGTTCGCCGATGAAATCGGCCTTCTCCTCTGCTAGGAGACCATCGGTTTGTCTTCAAACCAACCTCACCCTCTATGCATGCAGAGGGGAGTACCAATCTTGCCGCTAACCTCAAAGCCATCCATTGAATCCCCGCCGCCAAAACCCTAGATGCTTCTAGAGCCGTCGCAGAGAGCCAAAAGAAGAGAGAGGTGAGAGCGTTTTTCATTTCTTGTATATATGATTCAACACAATAGAAGATCCAAAATGATTTAAACATATAAATAAGTTAATTAAAATATATCTCTCCTGCCAACGCGCCGAGTAAAAAGCTAGATATAAAATACCTTTGAATTTGTACATGTTACAGAAACAACGCACATATCGCAAAAGGAAAACAGATAATAAATAAAGATAACCTTATCGGTGGCGTGATTGATATAGAATTGAAGAAGAAGGGAGTTGCGCAGCTGGCAGCTTGGAAAATTGAGAGTCGCCGATGGAAGTAGGGTTTAGTTATAATCACAAAGCTGTATATATAGGGTTTAATACCTAGTGAAGAAATTAAGTACGCGCGCAAATTGTTTACTAGCGCCAAACTTATAAACAGGTAAGTAATTTAATTAATAATTAGGGATATTTATGTATAATTGCTATAACTAGCTCCAATTAGGTAGAATTCAAACTTTAGAATTGAAAATGAATTCTTTTATATACCAAATATAAAAAAATTATGTTTGGTATGAATTTCTCAAGGATTTTATAACGAGGGTTTTGTCATGGATTTGCTAATTAAAAACCTTGGGGATTTATTAGGGATTTTGGGCATTATGGATTTGAGGAAATCTTTTGTTTGTTGAGCTATTTTTATCATGAATTTGATGAGGTGGGCATGGTTTTTCAGCTTGTCTCCAAATCCCAGGGTATGAGGTGGGATTTATAAAGCCGGGGCCTATGGATTTGGAGGAAAAAAAAACCAAATCCGTGGGGCCCGTAAATTTTTTGACAAAGCAAACAACGGATTTTGTGTAAATCCATGATGATTGATTTTTTTATATCAAATCGATGATGTAAATCCTTGAAGCAAACGACCAAAATGAGTTAGAAACTCAAGTGAACAGTGGCTACACACTAATTGGCACTAAAAGGAATTCAATTGAAATCCCCAAACAATTTCCCACTTTACCTACCAAACCAAACTGCTAGGGTTTTTTCTTTCTTTCTTTGTGTGTGGTGGTGATGGTGTTGTGTGGCGGTTGCATAAGTAAGCCAGCAGCACCACCTTCTTGTGTTTGGTCTAAAACCTTCACCTGCCATTTCCAAAGGGCTAGTGGCCTAGTGGGAAGCCGGATGGGCCTTTGGGAACAGTAACTTATCACACATTTGGCCAAACTGGCACCTCATTCTGGTCAGTATCTCTATAAATCTCTCTTGTTTGGCCAAAGGTCAGTTGGGTTTGTGGCAAAACTGCAAATTTTATGGAATCCTGCCCCCTAGTTCAACCTAATACCAAATCCTATTAGGGATGCACCAACAAACCCCCACCTGCCCAATACCCCTCATACCAAATCTCATTTTGACTAGTTGATCCTGGTATAAACGATTCAAAGTTATATTGATTGTTACAATTTAGTTTAGTTTTACTCGAATTTTTATTATATATGAACTAATTGTACATGTTTATATATTTACGACCTTCGAGATTGTCGCGACTTTCATATATATGACTAAATGGAAAGGAAAGAAGAATGGGAGTCAAAAGAGAGTGATTTTTTTTTCTCAAGCTTGTGAAACTAATCTAGAAACAGGGGGGGGAGTAACAATAGCACATCTTCACCTTCTTGCCTCTTCTCCCTCCTCTCAATCTCACACTGCAAATTACAACTAACTACCAAACTACCAAACTCCCCATATTTACACCTTTCCATACTAAACCCCTCGTCATTTCTATTAATTACATCATAATAATCATTCTTACTTCCTGTTGACGTCAACAAATCCCCTTCACCACAGCCACAACAATCCCTTCCATCTTCCCCTGCTACACTGCAATTGCAATCATCTCCCCGAACTGTGATCCAACGGTAAAGATCATCGCCACCATCACAAAATTCCCAGCTGGGTCCCGCCGTCGCCAGCCTTCCGATCCTCTCTCTGGCTTCCTCATCTACTTCTATTCCCGACGGTGACGAGGAAGAGGAACAAGGCGACTCAGTGGCTTCGTCAGAATCAACAATCCCCACCGAATTCCAGAACCCTTTATCCAGAATGCTCGTAGGAGAATCAAAACAAGGCTTTCCGGTGGGAAGATCACCGGCCAATTCGAATTCTACCAGGAACGGATGCTTCAACAGCTGACTCGCTGTCCACCTCTGTTTCGGATCCCTCCTCAAACACTTGTCCAAGAAATCCTTTGCTTGCTCCGACAACCAACCCGGGAAATCTGGAACCCGGCCAGAGTAACCCACCCGGTAAATTGCAGAAACGGGATCGTTGTGATCACTCTCCGGCCACGGCGACCCGCCGCCGGTAGCCATTTCGATGACCGCGCACCCCAATCCCCAAACGTCGCCGGCGAACCCCTGTTCCTCCCCGCGCGCCGTTTCCGGCGCCATGAACATCGGCGTCCCGCCAATTGTACCCGAGGACCCGACCCGCTTGGCGCACCCGAAATCCGCCAGCTTGGCCGCCGACCCATCGACTCCGACCAAGATGTTCCGACATTTCACATCGCAATGCGCCAACCCGTTGGAATGCAGATATTCAAGCGCCTTCACAACCTGCCACGCGTACAACCCAATCGCCGATTCTTCCATCCGGCCTCCGCCACGGCAGCGGCGTCGAATCTCATCGATAATTGTACCGCCGGGCATGTACTCGAGCTTCAAATTGTACACAACTCTGTCGTCCTCCGTCGTAATTTCCCATCCCCTGTATCCAATTACATAAGGAGAGCTGACTGAAGACAGAATCCTCTGTTCTCGTTGTAGGAACTCCGATTGGGAAGGCCCTGCTGACTTGACAGCGTACCGCTCGCCGGAGCGGTGGTCGGTTGCTAGATAGACGGTGGCGGTGGCGCCGTGGCCAAGTTCGTGACCTCTGCTCCAGCTCATTTCTTTTGGGTTTTCAGAGAGAAAAGAAAGGAAATGGAAAGGAAGAATGAATGAATGAGTGAAAGTTTCAATCTTTTTGGGGGGAGAGTTTGTTACGAAAGTGATGAGCCGTTATACTCTGTATTTATAAGGCCACCATCTCAAGTAAGAAGAAAAGGGAAAATGGAGAACAGGAGAAGTTAGTTTGATTGGTTAGTTGGGTTTTTTGTTTGTACTCTTCATGCATCCTTCCCTTTTGCTTGCTTGCTATTATGATTTATGAGAGAAGGAAGAAAGGGAAAGAAGAAATGAGTTTGACAACTGGTTTAGAAGGATCGAAGTGAAAGAACGTGGCCAAATATTGGTGGGAGGTGGATGGCTTGGAGCAGCTGATACGGCAAATGGTGACATGGCGAAGTGGGTATGGCGACAAGTGTCATGTGGGTAGAAATTGTGTTTGGTTGAGGAGAGTGTACGGGTGTGCAAAATATATTTAGTTCTGTTTTTGGAGATTGATGGATAAGGTTTAGGGGGCTTTTTTTTTGCAAGGGATTGTGATGGGTGGTGAATTGGAAGGGGAGAGGGGAATAGTGAAAATTGACCCAATTTGGATGTATTGTGGGTTTTTGGAATTTGTGTGAGCAAAAAGTGGACTTTTGAAAATTAATTTGGTGGGTTGAAGAGTAGGGGAAGTTTTGGTAGATAGTGAATTGTATTTTTTGTAAGTTTTGGTAGATACTATTAGCCAATAAGCATATTATGATGAGGTTCTTGGTCAAGATATTTTTTTAGATGAATGGTTTAGAGGATCTATCCACCTTAGTTAAGATTTTAAGCTAAGGGAGAAGGTGATTGGGTTTGAAGTTGAACCACCACAAGAGGGGATGAATTGGGTATTTTTCTTTTCAGCGAGTAATGTGATTTGGTGAATGTCAAATTTGAAGTCATGTAAATGAGGAAAACATACTAATTATTCATGAATGGAAAATTGGATGTTTTTGTCAAAGTCAAATGAAAATTTTCATATGGAAAATACTAATTAATATATATGCACTTACATCCACTCTTTCTTCCTCACATAATAGTTTAATTATTAATTACATCATGTATGAGGTGATCTCATTCTTCAATGATTCTTTACTGTTTAAGAAAATTGAGTATATGTTAAACTAAATATCAAAGGTTGATATTTCACTCTTTTTTTTTTTGACTATCTTGTCTATTATACGGATAACGAATTGATGGAGGATTACCAATACACGCCGATATTTTTCTCATGCATAGGTCTAGATAAGTTCGAAGTTAAAATTTCACATGTGAATAGATAGAAAATATTTTAATATGTTGTTTGATACATAAGAGATACATTTTAATTTATCACATGAAACTCAACTTAGCTATTTCCGATCTGAATATCATGTATTTGGTTGTTGTATTATTGTATATGGTGGTTCTACAACCGGTTTGATTAATAATTAAAATTTAACCATGCTTTCCACCAATTAGAAAAATACGAGGCATAGTGATACCCTTA